CTACTATATTTCACTGTTTGGGTTGTTGTTGTTCCGGTTGTGTTTAGGTAGCCTACTACCAATGTTTGTAAGATTAGATTAGGTTACGTATAATATTTTTTTAGATGAAATGTTTGAACTCGTGTCAGTCCTATCTTACATTACCGAAACAACAATAAACAAAAGTTAAATATACTATGGACAAATTTCTTAAAGAAAGTCTCTGTAATGGATATGCAATACGCTTGTAAACTATTATCAAAAGTAATTTATCTTATATTTTTTTATTCATTTTCAAGAGTGAGAAACAATATACGTACGGTATGTTGTGTTGTCAATAGTAAGAGAAACAATCGAGACCCTGCAATTGTGTGTAAATGAGGCAGAAAGTCAGATCAGCAACCTGGGATTTGGTCACAATTACAGTAGTTACCGCAATATATAGATAATACATATTAGATTTTGTTTTATTTTTTCAGGCTGGCATTATAGGATTCTGGTATTGTTATTAGTGACCATCAAAATCCTTTTGCTTATCTCTGAGGATGAGTTCATAAAGAGGTATAGGCTATCCAAGGAATGCATCCATGAACTTCTTGAACGAGTAGAACCACATACGTAAAGAGTTCAAGAAGGATGAGGCAAGAAATATAGTGTGCGGTCTACAACATAATTGGGTTAAATTAGCTTAGCTTAGGTTAGATTAGTTCAGGTTAGGTTAGGTTAGACTAAATATATCTTTGTACACCGAAACTCTAACTCCTGGATTTTGGTCTTTGTTTGGAAGTGTAAAGTGTATCGGGTTATTTATTCAATGTTATGCAGGGGAGGGGGGGGGGGCATCACCACTGCACAGTACTCAGCACCCACGAAAACCCCTAAACCCATCTCCCACATACAATAATACCACCAGGCCATAATTACAGTGCAGTAATATACAGGTACTCCTTGACTTACAACCTACTCGACTTACGAACACCCGGACATACAACTGCCCCAGTCGTACCCAAAATTTTTAAATTGCATATTTTCGAGTACCGACATTTGTGATTGCTGTGTACTGACAAAATTTTTGTTTGCAATTCCATTTAAAATGGCTTGGAAGCTTAAAAGTGAAAGTTTTGTGGTGCTGAGAAAAAAAAAGAGAGACCCATTTTAGATTTTCTATGCATTATTTTCAACTTACAACCTGGATTTTGGTCCCTAACCCAGTTGTGTCGGGGACTGCCTGTATTCATTACACAGAATTAGCCAATACGTACAGTAATCACAGTTTATACATTATCAGTTATGACACTGATGGCAAAGTCTTCATAATTTAACTAGATTGCCCAAGGACAGAGGTGGAATTAGGGCTGCACTCTTGACATATGCCACCAGTCAACAGCTGTAATGCTTGCTCAAAATACATGACGCACAGCTTGGGCTGATAAGGTATTGTACATACTAGTGAAATCCTTTAAAGCCTCCAACATAACACCATTCAGTTCTTGTGTACTGTCCTTAATAATGGCATTGAGGCATTCATTCCTCGTTCACCTGCTGTCATGATCGTGATGACGGCTAACCTGAAAACCTTAAAGATTCATATTACGCTCAAACGTCCACAAAACCTTCTGAGTCCCCTAGTGAAAACATCCCCCGTTTTCTCTGTTTCCTTGATGACGTGATCGATAGGCCTTCTTTGTCTAAAGGAAACTTTGAATATAATCTGCGGATTTCGTAGCAAGACGCTGTATGTTGGGACTTGTTGCCATCCAACCCTTTGTAATAAATTTAATTTTGCTTTTGATAGCTCAGTCAGAGCATTGTTAGTGAAGATAATAGTAGGGAATGAAACCGAGTTCATAGTCTCAGTTTCAACATCAGAGTGTACAGTAAATTAATTCATCGAAATAGAAGTAGGTGGACTCCCTGACCTATTTTGAGTGAGAGTGCCCCGGGCATTTCAACCGTTAGTAAGTGCTCGCCCCTTCACCCATACAGGTAGGTCATTCCACTGTGTGTTGTAATTCGCCCTTCTTTACGTGATTTGACCCAATTAATAGTTGATTGTGCAAGTGTTACAGTAACGTAGTTGATATGCTCCGAGTGAAGTAATACGTCTTTAACGTCCCCTGAAACGTGATGTCGTTGTCACCGTTAGTAAGTGCTCGCCCCTTCACCCATACAGGTCCCTAATGCAGCCTAGGCCGTGTCTGTAGCATGGATGTTGTATCCACTATGTCTGGGGAGATGTCCGAGGTCCAGTAGGATCAGTTACCTCCGTGAGATACCGTCAGACACTTCAGACTACCTATGGGCCCCATAGCTGGCTCGTCTGACCCTAACTCTCGGCCCGCGAGGTGACCCCGGATCACCAAGCCACACACCACTACCAGCCCCCCATCATTGGTGGATGAGTGTCTAACTCAGTAGGGCTATTTGTGTGATGGGGTTATTCCACTGGGATCTTCAGAGTTTGTTGGAAAGTACCTCATGGTGGGTGCTTGAGTATCACTCCTGACGACTGAGTGTTGTAGTGGCAGTTGCCCCTGGTCTTAATGGTGCTAAGTTACTGTAAGAGTTTGTGTTATTGAGTATGTCCACCCAGTAGTGGTGTGAGTATGTTGAGCCCGAGGGCATAGTACCAGATTTCGTCTGTTGGTACATATATTCTTTCTCCTACCTGCATATTAATGTTTAAATAAATTTTGTATTTGTATATTGTGTCTATTATTTACCTACAGTATCTGCCGTTATTTCTTCCCTATTACTTGATACTATCATTACATATACCCACGAGCCTCCTCTCGTCACGCTACCAATGGTTATAAGTATTAGAGTAAAGAAAAATGTTATAAGAGGCACGGCCCTTATACTGCTTCCTTTTCTTCCTCCCGTGACTGGATGTTGATGTTGATGTTGCTGGTGGTGGCACGGGTGATCCTGATGCTGGATCAGTTGATCCAAGTGTTGCTGTCGGTGCAGACGCTGGCATTATTGGTGGTGGTGACTGCCTCCTTCAATTTTGGCACGCATATCAGCCTGGTTTGTTTACATTTATCTTGGATAAGGAGTACCAACCCTCTCGAGTTGCGACGTTCGGGTTACTATATAGTAACCCGGTGTTCGGGATTGCTCTTCGGGCTTGCTGCCCGAGTGTTTAAAAAATGGCCGAATGTCTCTTGGTTGAGGATGATGTTGACTAATAGCTTTTCTCTACTGTGACAACTCTCTCCACTATCCCACTTATTGTCACAAAACATATCATTCATAATTATATTTCATACTGATACATAGGATAATAAAAGAAAACATTATTAGTCATCTGCTTATAACAAAATACTCAGTTCTTTGACAAACAAATACTACATGTAAGTAAGTTATACATGTTTCACTACACAGAGGAACTCCTTCATCTCTCAAGTGTAGGATACAACAAGGTGGTGTTACCTGCCAAGTGTAGTGTGTTCATGTAATTAACACCAACACCTGATGTCACTAGACAGTGCTGCATACATATGGTGGCCATACACTGATGGTGATGATACGCACTGATATTGACATTCTAGTGACACATGGGTTTACACTTGGTGATGACACATAGTGGCAATTCATCTCTGTAATAAATGTTGGCGAGACAGAGTTTTTATATGGTGGTGACAGCCAATAAATGTTTGTCACAAAAGTACCCTGTATGAGATACAGGGAGGGTGCCACATGGTGGTGGTGATACATGTAGGTAGTGATACAGGGATATTAAACATAGTGGTGGTGATACAGGGAGGTTAAACATGGTGGTGGTACAAGGAGGAGACACATGGTGGTGGTGATGCAGGGAGGTTAAACATAGTGGAAGTGATACAGGGAGGTTAAACATAGTGGAAGTGATACAGGGAGGTTAAACATAGTGGAAGTGATACAGGGTGGTTAAACAGTGGTAGTGATACAGGGAGGTTAAACATAATGGTAGTGATACAGGGAGGTTAAACATGATACAGGGAGGTTAAACATGATACAGGGAGGTTAAACATAGTGGTGGTGATACAGGGAGGTTAAACATAGTGGTGGTGATACAGGAGGTTAAACATAGTGGTGGTGATACAGGAGGTTAAACATAGTGGTAGTGATACAGGAGGTTAAACATAGTGGTGGTGATACAGGAGGTTAAACAGTAGTGGTGGTAGTGATACATAGTGGTGGTGATACAGGGAGGTTAAACATAGTGGTAGTGATACAGGAGGTTAAACATAGTGGTGAGTGATACAGGGAGGTTAAACATAGTGGTAGGTTAAACATAGTGGTGGTGATACAGGAGGTTAAACATAGTGGTAGTGATACAGGAGGTTAAACATAGTGGTGGTGATACAGGAGGTTAAACATAGTGGTAGTGATACAGGGAGGTTAAACATAGTGGTGGTGATACAGGGAGGTTAAACATAGTAGTAGTGATACAGGAGGTTAAACATAGTGGTAGTGATACAGGAGGTGACACATGGTGATGGTGATACAGGGAGGTGACACATGGTGGTAGTAGTGGTACAGGGAGGTGACACGTGATGGTAAGGGAGGTGACACATGGTGGTGGTGAGGGAGGTGATACATGGTGGTGGTGATACAGGAGGTGACACATGGTGGTGGTGAGGGAGGTGATACATGGTGGTGGTGATGACAGGTGAGGTGACATGGTGGTTACACAGGAGGTGACACATGGTGGTGGTGATACAGGAATGACACATGGTGATGGTGGTACAAGGAGGTGACACATGGTGGTGGTGATACAGGAGGTGACACATGGTGGTGGTGATACAGGGAAGTGACACATGGTGGTAGTGATACAGGGAGGTGACACATGGTGGTGGTGATACAGGAAGTGACACATGGTGATGGTGGTACAAGGAGGTGACACATGGTGGTGGTGATACAGGGAGGTGACAAATGGTGGTGGTGGTGGTATAGGGAGGTGACACGTGGTGGTGGTGATACAGGGAGGTGACATGGTGGTGGTGATACAGGGAGGTGACACATGGTGGTGGTGATACAAGGTGACACATAGTGGTGGTGATACAGGGAGGTGACACATGATGGTGATGATACAGGGAGGTGACACATGGTGGTGGTGATACAGGGAGGTGACACATGTTGGTGGTGATACAAGGAGGTGACACATGTTGGTGGTGATACTGGGAGGTTACACAAAGGAGTTATACACATGTTAAGTGATACAGGTAGAAGACACATGGTGGTGATACATGGTAAGGTGAGCTATGAAGGCAAAACAACACCACAGTCAACCACTTTAGCTTCCCTGATGAAATAAGCTGCACTCTGTACCACCTCAAGTCCTTGCACCACCTGACCAAATGCACGCTCACTTTTTGATTCATCCCAGTAGATGCAGAACTGGGCACTTGTAGGACTCCAAGGGTCATCCTTATATGTCACCAGCCCCTTGCCAGTCCTGTTGTACTCGTTGCGGTAATGCATCCCTGACAGTAGTGGGGCCCCTCCCTTGCCATTGTTCTTCTCATAGTCTCCACCACTTATATACCATCTTGTACTGCCCCACACAAAATCTCTACTAAAGATACAGGAGTTGAGGTATGAGGGACCTTTCTGCCCTGTACACAACCACATGAACTGTTTGGCCATCTCAGTGTCAGGACTCAGCTGGATGTAGATCCTCCCTTGTGTTGATCCCCTCCACCCCAGGTCTAAGAAAACTAGAGTGGAGGAGGAGTTCAGCAGGTTGACCCGAGTGGAGGAGTAGTTCAGCGGGTTGACCCTAGTGGAGTAGTTCAGCGGGTTGATCCGAGTGGAGGAGGAGTTCAGCAGGTTGACCCGAGTGGAGGAGGAGTTCAGCGGGTTGACCCGAGTGGAGGAGGAGTTCAGCAGGTTGACCCGAGTGGAGGAGGAGTTCAGCGGGTTGACCCGAGTGGAGGAGGAGTTCAGCAGGTTGACCCGAGTGGAGGAGGAGTTCAGCAGGTTGACCACACTACTGTACTGCAATTATAATTATGATAAATCAGACAATAAATGGAATTATTATCATGAAGAAATGAATAACTGTCCAACTAAATTACAAAGGAAACTGAATTTGTCTTTTTTTGTGACAAGTGGAGTGAAGGACAATATGATTGACAAGAAGTGTACAAATGGAAGATAAGGTTAAATAAAGGTGGTATGAAGAAGGTATTTAAATTATCAAATACATTAGTTCAGAAATAGAGTTGTAGATAAGTGGAACAGCTTATTAATACAATTATTAACACAATTACACTACAGTAGTAAGTTTCATATACTGTATAAGTTAGACAAATAAATAAATGATAACGGTTAGGTGTAAACAGAAGCTGCCTCACATACACCAATAAACCTACTGATTTTTTTTTTTTTTTTTTTATACAGGGATTAGCCCACCCGGGCACAGGTCACTGACCCACATCTGGCCCTGGGGGGAAAAAATGTAAATAAAAATAATAATAATAATAATTAGTCCATAGTAAATCAAATTTATAAAATAATAAATTAAAAATGATAACAATAATAATAACAACAACACTGATAACAATAACAATAATAATAAAGAACCATAAAGAAATAAAATAATGAAAAAGATTAATAGAGAGAGATGATATATGTACTGTACAGAATGTTGTGTTGTCAAAGTAAGAGAAACAATTGAGACCCTGCAATTGTGTGTAAATAAGGCAGAGAGTCAAATCAGCAACCTGGGACTTGGTCACAATTTTTGTGATGCCATATGGCAGCAGGGTCTACCCCATTAGACAACACATTATGCTTCCAATATCTTCCCAGGTGGTAGTGCCTCCCTGTTTGATAGCTGCCTACTACCTAGATACTACAGGTTGTGCCTCTCTAGTCCGGCATTCTGAGGTCCGGAACGATTTAGTTTGCCCATGGAGAAAATTAATTTGAGTCTGGTACTTTCGATGTTAGACTAAATTTGGCCTTATTTACCCTATTTTTTGGCAAATTATTACCTGTAATAAAGCAACAACCTAATAAACCAACAAAAATAACACAGATAAAGTTAAATAAAAACTAAAAACAACACAGAAATGTTCTTATGTTCTACAGCTTTAGCTAGAGTTGAACCTGATGGCTTGGCAACTTCGTCATCCGAGTAAAAACACACACAACAACATTGGCTGTCTTTATGTTTTAAACTTTACCACCACTGGTGGGTAGAATTTTTTTTTTAATTCAGAAACATTAATGAAAATATATATGAACAGTAAATAAGTGTTGCTTTCATATTCTTATGTAGAGTAATGACGATATGTTTTCACATGTGCGCACTTACATACGCGATCTCTTTTTTTTTTAGCATTAATGGTTAGCTACTTCCATTGTTTCATTTATTAACATTAAATAACATTACTTAAAACAACCATATTAATTTTACTACAACTACAACCAGGGTTTTATTTTCTTCAGTTTTATATGTAGAACCAATCGGTCACTGGTTTTGTAAACATTAACGAAAACAATACAGTCTCGTCTCCTCGTGTGTTTTAATATTCCAGGTATTATTAATGAATTGTATTGTTCATTTTGCACAAATAAACATTAATTCAATAAAAAAAAGAAAGAAACATTAATTAAAACATCTATGAACAGTAAATAAGTGTTGCTTTCATATTCTTATGTAGAGTAATGACGATATGTTTTCACATGTGAGCACTTAAATACGCGATCTCTTTTTTTTTAGCATTAATGGTTAGCTACTTCCATTGTTCCATTTATAAACATTAAATAACATTACTTAAAACAACCATATTAATTTTACTACAACTACAACCAGGGTCTTATTTTCTTCAGTTTTAATATTCTACGTATTATTAATGAATTGTATTGTTCATTTTGCACACATTAACATAAATTAAATAAAAAAGACATTCAGTAATAAACAATAATGAATCTTTTGTACATAGAGAAATGACGCTTTTTACACAATTGTGCACGTCTGAACACTGGCGGGCAGCTCAAACCCGTCGAAATTTTAAATTGTGCAGTTTTTTGTTTTTTTGTCCAAATAAAAAACGTTGAATTAAAAACTCGCAAAATTTGAGAACCTACTGTACAACATTTAACCCTTCAATATGTCTTCAAAGAGACCACGAAGCAGTGAAAGTGGTGCTAGTGCTTCCAAGTGTATGCACAAGTCACTATCTATCGAGGAAAAGGGTGAATTTCCACGGTCCGGAAATTTCCATGGTCCGGCACCGCTCAGGTCCCGAGGTTGCCGGACTAGAGAGGTACAACTTGTAATAGAGTATGAGCTGAAAACAATAACTGATGAGGATAATATTGATGATAACTTGAAGGTGGTCAATAATAATGTATTATTGAGATCTGATCCCTGACTCATACCAATATAACAGTGATGATTAACATACGTACTAATCATTGATCTTGGCTAACGGAATATGACTAATAAATCTTTATTACTGTGTCCACTAAAGAATCCTGACTCCTGCAGCCTCTTTTATGTTGACCACAGAATAATAATAATTAATCGGAGAAGAATAACCTGCAACAGCAAAATTATAATGTGAGTGACCACAATGGTATTAAGTAATAATCATAAAAGGAAGGGAATTTTACTTGCATGTGTAATAATATTCAGTCTAAGATAATTTTTTTCTACAAATACAGTACAGCAATGACAACTATGTGGTAGCTAGTTTTACTAATCACTTTTACTTTTATCCTCTTCGCCACTGATCGGCTTGTTAGCCGCTTGGGCGATCGGTCACGTCTCTTTTCATTTATATTCTTCACCAAAAGATCGGCTCGCTAGCCGCCCGGGCGATCGGTCACGTCTCTGTCGGCAAATGCTGGACATGCACTGGCTCCTGAATGTACCTGAACCCGCTCTAGTGTTGATCAAGTCTTGTCTTGAAAGAGCTCACACTCGGTGCCGTCACAACACTCTCTGGTAGATTGTTCCAAGAGTTTACAACCCTCACTCCGAAAAAGTTTGCCCTCACGGTTTTCTGGACTTGCGGCTTCTTCAATCTTGAGCTGTGACCCCTTGTGGGGCGAGCATCCGCCAGCTCCAAGTAAGGACACTCAACTGAGTAGTGCCTCCCGAGATGCTTATACACCTCAACTAGGTCCCCCCTTGCCCGTCTGTAGTATAAGCTAGGCAAGTTCAGGCGCTCCAATCTCTCAGGGTAGCTGAGGTGCCGAAGTGCAGGCACCAGTCTGGTGGCCCTCCTTTGAACATTTGCAACCAACTGACAGTCCCTAGCATATCTCGGGGACCAGATGGGGTGACAGTACTCCAGATGTGGAAGCACTTCACTCCTGAAGATCGTTACGAGGGACGGACCGTCTAGATATCTGAACGACCTTCTTATAAGACCCAATAATTTATTTGCCTGATTTACCTTCTTCTCACAATGGCCCGAGAACACACCTAGGTCCTTCTCACATTGTCTCAAATAGTGCAGTTTCTTCATCCCGTTGGGACATATGATACGCCTCCTTACCGTTGGTACGCCCCAGGTGCATCCTCTTACACTTCGTGACATTGAATCTCAGCAGCCATGTCTTCGACCACTCTTGGAGCCCACAGAGGTCCTTCTGCAGCTCTTCACAGTCCGTTTGGTTCTTGATTTCCCTAAATAACTTAGCGTCATCGGCAAACATTTGTATGGAGGAGTGTACGACGTCAGGCATGTCATTTATGAAACAAACAAACAACAGCGGGCCCAATACACTGCCCTGTGGTACCCCACTTGTTACAGGTACAGATGATGATTTCGTGCCATTAATCACCACACACTGCTTGCGGTCATGTAGAAAGTCTTCTATCCACGCTAGGACATTTCCCCGAATTCCGTACCCTTCCAGTTTGATTTTCAGCCTTTCGTGGGGTACACTGTCGAAAGCCTTGGCAAAATCTAGGTAAATATTGTCGATATTACCACCCCATTCCAGAATATGGGTCCAAATATCCAATACCTTGAGCAATTGTGTTAAGCAAGAGCGCCCCGGCATAAAACCGTGTTGGCAATCTTTTACAAGGTTGTTTCGTAGTAGATGTTCCATCGCGGCATCTCTGATAATACTCTCAAGTACTTTACATATTATGCTGGTCAGGCTCACCGGTCTATAGTTGTTCGTGGAGTGACGATCGCCCTTCTTGAAGATAGGACTCACATAAGCCACTTTCCATTCACTGGGGACCATTTGTTCATCCAGGCATTTACAAAACAGGATCTTCAGGGGCTCTGCAAGCTCGTTGCACATCTCTCTTAGCACTCTAGGATGCACCATGTCAGGTCCGGGACTCTTACGGACCTTTAGCCTGGACAGTTTATTTCTAATACCCTCTTCTGTGAACACAATGTGGGTCAGTGCTGTGTCGAACCGTCTGTCCTCAAACGCAGGAAGGTTAGTTGCATCCTCTCTTGTGAACACTGAGGAAAAGAAGCTGTTCAATGCCTCAGCTTTATCCTGGTCAGAATCTGCATAACTACCATCTTCACGCCTCAGGTCTGATACTCCTACTCGCGTTTTCAATTTCGACTTTGCATAGCGGTAAAACGCCTTTGGGTTTGACTTGGCCTCGCTTGCAACCAGCCTCTGGAACTCCTTTTCAGCCCTCCTACACTCTATCTTTGCTTGGTTTCTGGCTCTTGCATATTAGGGTGTGTCATAGGAGGGAAGATCAGCTAAAACTAATGGCCCATCACTTTTTTGGTAGATTTTAGTGTATATAAACAGAAAATAATTTCAGTTTCAATATTTTGCAACCTTTTGCTAGGTAAATTGTAGCGTGAAATTGATCGAAAATCTAACGTACAGCTGCATTAGTGCATTACAATTAAATAGTGAACATTGCTTTCTGACTTCATTCTTTAACAACCCAACTAACAATATTTTTTTCTGTTTCAGATTCTGATGCATTTATAAGTTGATAATATTTGCGATGGCTGCTTGTGTCAGGACGAGGAACCAAAAATCCA